GAGGGGGGTAGAGAGGGGTTTGGGGTAGAAGGCTTTTGGGGGGTGTGTGTGAGAGAGAGAGAGCAAAGAAGAGGTAGGGGTAGAATGGGGGGTTAGTGTGTGTGTATTTGTATGTGTGTGAGAGAGAGAGATCAGGGATACCTAGGAGGGGTTAGTAGTGGCCGTGTTGCTGACAAAGTGGTGGTGGTGCTGGTGGTGTCGCTGGGGCGTAACCGAGAGAGAGAGAGAGGAAACAAAAAAAAAAAACAGAAGAAACAGAAGATATGAGGAGAGGCATGGCTTGTCTGACAAAAAGGAGGGGAAAAAAAAAAAAAAAAAAAAAAAAAANCTGGGGCGTAACCGAGAGAGAGAGAGAGGAAACAAAAAAAAAAAACAGAAGAAACAGAAGATATGAGGAGAGGCATGGCTTGTCTGACAAAAAGGAGGGGAAAAAAAAAAAAAAAAAAAGACATGGAGGAGAGCCGACATGTTTGACTAGTAAGGTCACTGAGAGGAGTTCTGATTTTGAAAAAAATATTTTGAGTAAAAGATAATGAATTTGAAAAAAATTTGAGAAATATTTATAGTAGTTAGACGAATGAATTTGAGACCTACGATAAGCTTGTCAAAGTTGTACTGTTCCATATTATAAATTATGATTAATTCGTGTCTAAAAATATGATGTAATATGAATGATTTTAAGAGAAATTTTGGTGGTCGTTAAATAATTTTTATTAAAATTTATCTTATTTTATATTATAAATCTGTGATTACGAGGGATTAAGTGCAACCTAAAATAATCTAAGGGAGGTGATGTACAAGTGACCCTAAATTCAATAAGAATCTATGTAGTTTGCCTTTTTATTTATCCCAAAGAAAAATGGGGCCAACGACCTTCAAATTCTTTCATTTCTCCCCCCTTTGGTTAACATACCGTACTAAATAATATTTTTTAGTATAGTAATGAAATTGATAATATTTTGGATTAAGTTAAAAAATTTGGATCAAATGACAATGAAAAATGTAGTTTTTTGGATCAATCCTAACTTTTTTTTGTTGTAATTTAACCTCAAAATATTGTATTTTGACTCCAAAAGTATGGTAAAATATGGTGTCGTAACTCCTTCGGTCCAAAAATTTAATAGCGATGATCTTACCCTTTTTGTTATAATTTAATCTAAAAAAAGGTTCAAAAACGTGGTAAGTTTGGGTACGATAACTCTTTTGGTCCTCAACATTTCAGCATCGGTCTTTGTTATGGGTCATAATCAATATTTTAGCATCAATTTTTGTTATGGTTCATAAATTTTTTTTGTTGTAACTCAAACTCAAAAATATATATATATATATATATTTTATTTTGACCTAAAAATGAGATCGGCTTTGGTACCGTAATTCAGTTTTACCCCTCTCCTTTTATCTACGTCTTTTTCTTTCACACACTTATTTTCTCGGCAAATCTTTCTATCCAGACAAAATGTAGTTTAGAAAGAAGTGTGACACTGAGATGGCTTAAAGGTCAAAATATTGAGTCTCCTTTGGTTGAGAGTAAGTATTTTAAATATTGAGTCTCCTTTGGTTCTTAAAATATTTTATTAGTTATTAATTTTAAAAAATCTTGGTATGGATTTAGTTAATAATATAATTTGACAATGGTTGTCCGAATTAGGTTAGGAGTAACCTTTTTAAAAAAATTTAACTTTTAATTATAATACATATTTTTTCTTCTTTAAACTGATTTAATATAATTAAGGGTAATTTAGACAATTAAAAAAATTTTCTTGTAACTTTCTTTTCTTTCAAACAATAAAATGAAATTTTTTTGAAATTTTCTCGCAAGTTTTTCATGCTAACTAAATACTTGTATGAAAAAATATTTTTTTTTATTTTTTTCTTTTCACTTCACTTTCTATCATTTTTAATTTTCATCATTATTTTCCTCCTAACAAAACGAACACTTGAGGAAAAGCTAAAATTCAGTTTCTTTACCATCTACTGTTGACTGTGTAAAAAATTACAAATAAATGTAGTTTGAAAAAACGTTTGAAAATAATGGTTTTAGAACAATTATTTGGGTTTAAATAAAAGTGGAATTCACACCTCGAAATTTATCGTACCAAATTTAAATGTGTTATCTTCCGCAATGAGATTAACATATTATATTTATTTATTCAAAATTATTAAGTATTAAATGAGAAATTATGTCTCAAAATAACTCATTTGAATTACTGGAAGGAACTAAATTTAATGTAGTGTTGTGCATAAGACTTGTTCCATATTGGATAAAGGCCAAAATTTAATTGAATTAATATACTCCTAGTTTGTTTCATGGGTTGGGCCCCAAAAGATACCACACATTTGTGAGTGGAACGAACACCTACATTTACTTGGTTACCATGCACACCCATCCGCTTGCCTCGCCACAACTCGGTCATGTTTGGGCTTGGATAAATAAGATCTTATCTTTTTTGGCAAAATTTATTTGGTACAGTGCAAATTATGGGTCAAACCAAACGGAAATGAACAGGGTTACAATTCACCTTCCAACCGAATTTAAAATGTCCAACCTGATTTTTAAATTTTTCTTTCGTTAAAATTGAATTTGGCGTCAAAATTAAACTGAGACTAAAAATATTATACTAAGACTAAAAATATTTCAATCAAATATTGAATATCAAATATTTTAAATTTTATAATTAAAATTCATGTTCTATTGTATCATTTATTGAAATAAAATAAAAAATAAAAATTTATTTTTTCTTAAAAAATCATAATTAGTACATTGGAATTTAATTTAGTCGTTTAAACTAAAAGATATTGTATCCATTACAGTTTGACCCGTTGTTTAATTTTTTTGTATTATTCTAATTAATAGATAGTATAATTGTATACTAACTATAACTTTTTTAAAAAAAATAAGATTTCTATTTTTAATTTTATTTCAATAAATGACATAAAAACATGAATTTTGATTGTAGAATTCATATTCTATTTTGAATGACTTAGATCATTTGTTTGATTTTTAAGTTTTATTCAAATAGATAGTATAATTGTATACTAATTACGATTTTTTTAAAAAAAATTTGAATTTATTTCAATAAATGATACAATATAACATAAATTTTGATTGTAAAATTTAAAATATTTATTATTCTATCTTTGATTTGAGTATTTTTAGTTTAAGTATAATATTTTATACTTAAGGGATCTAAATATTATATGCCTACAGACTTTAAGGGGTTTAAATGTAATTTATTAACAGATATATTTACAACAAGGGTCTACACGTGTATAAACCTCAAGGGGTCTATGTATAATATTTTAAATATTAAGGAATTTGAGTGATTAAGTGACAAACCTCAGGAGTTTGAGTGTAATTCTCTCAATTATTTAACTTCAAAATGACATCGTTTTAATCTATTAGAGTGGACATTTCATGTAACATATTATACGACCAAATATCATTTGTCGAAAAACAAAATTAATTGTAAAATTTTTTTCTGCTAGAAACATGTATTATCGTTAAGTATTATTTTTTTTTTCTTATTTTTAGTAATTTGACAAACCGAAAAATTATTTTTGGAGACAAATTTTTTTGTCACCCATAAATTTAGCATTAAGCGCCAACCTGGGGGCGCCAATTTTTTTTTTGGAAGGAACGTTTTTGCTAGGATTATTGGCAACGACTACAAAAAATGATTACCAAAAATATCATAAAAAAGTTTATTATGAGAAACATTTGAAATTGTCGCCGAAAATTACTTTTTTACAACAAATTTTACTATTTGCCGCCAAAACCAGTCGCTAAAAAATAAATTTGTTGCAATGAGTATTACTCTAAAAAGGAAAGTTAGAGGATCCATGGAAAAATCTACGCATGATTAGGCGTGCAACCCGAGCGAATTGAGGGGTCAATTCTAGTCCAACTTTAAGGATATAATTCTCAACCATAATCTTAATCCTAACTCTGATCCGACCTTAATCCGAAGTATTCAACTCAAGTATTGCCCAAATTTAATTCGGGCGAGCTCAGGTCAAATTTGGGTTATATAATTCGGATAAATTTTGGGTTAAAATTTGGATTGACTTAGAGTTACATAATTTGGGTTGATTGTGGGTTACAATTCGAGTTAGGTTTATTTAAGCCCGATAAAATATTTACTTAAAGTAACAACCAACAACTTCAATCAAATATTTGACATAAAGACCATAGTATTTAAAACATAAAAATCAATGTTTAATATAAAGACATAGTAGCTAAATAATTAACATAAGACTGAACCAGAAGAATGATTCCTTGTGTTTTAACTTGTAAGTTATATTGCTATATTTATTTATATATATATTTTTAAATATGTTCGAGTTGAGCGCGATTTAAAATTCGGGTTGATCCTAATTTATATATTCGGGTTGAAGCCGATTTGAAATTCAGATTGAGCCCAATTTATATATATAAATTGAACCTAGTAATCCAAGGCCTCAACCGAGTACTTTCTGAATTCAATTCAAATTTGCGTTTTTCTACCTAGACCCTACCCAAACATATTTTTTTCGGGTTGAATTCGAGTTGGCCACCAAAATTACACTCCCACACATGATATAACTACCTTGTTAGATGTCAAGCTCGAATTACTGAAATTTGTGTTTATGAATTAAGAGGTGTCCATAGTCCGAGAATTTTGCAATCGTGTCACATAGTTTAGTGAGTCATGCCCAATGGTACGATTGTATACCAAGAGCACGCACCTGAGTTTATTATGCTCTTCTTTTTACTTTACATTTCAAAATGAATAAAAGTACCATTTTCATTCAAAAAATAAAAATATTCCCCATAATAGGGGATTTTATTTTGGGAATAATAATAAGTAGACAGCACAGAAGTTTGTAATACATATAGACCTTAGAGAAACCAAAAATATAAGAATAAATACACCTTGAAATTAGACCATTTTTATGTTTATTGTCCTGCTTTATTTCTATTTTGGAAACAAAAAAAAAAACAAACAAACAAACAAGAATTTTCAATAATGTAAGACGGTAACGTTGCTCTGAATTACGCAATAAGACTTTTCCACATCAATATGAATTGTCTCGAAGGTAGCGTGGCCGCGGCCCAATCGGAATTTCCCCGTGCCGCTCACGACCGCCACCTCTCTCACCCTCTCAAACTGAGGACTAGCACCTTGTATTTGCAGTGTGCTGCCCTTGTACTCTTCATTGGTGAACACAAGTGATATCATAACATGTGAAATAGACCCATCCAATGCCGATGTCACATACATCCCTTGGGCCCGTGCAACTTGGGCTGAGCTTCCGTCGAAGCCTATTGTTACCGGATCATCTGTCACAAACACTGTTCCAAATTTCTCGTAGCTCATGAACCCATCAGACCGGCCCGTGATCTGGATAAGTGTCGGGTTCGGCCCGCCAAACCAGTCTTGAAAGTAGAGGGTCATGCTTGTTTCTTTGAGCTGGCCAAGTTCAACAGCATTGGAACAAATGAAAATGGCTAGTAACAATAGAAAGGACAGCTTGAATGAGCTTGATGCCATGGGTATATATGTGATAGATGAACCAACAAGAGTCTATATAACAATTCAGGAACTTGGTATGATCTTATTTATGGGGGGACTAGCTCTATTTATAAGTTGGAGGGATGTGGAGAGAGAAATTAATAGCAGACTATTAAAAAATAAAATTTAAGTTAGGAACCTCTTTTATTCGAATTTTGAAAAGTTTATGGATGGATGTTAGTAAACTAGGACAGCTTCTTGATAGGATTATTTGTACCCTCTCTCGTCCTTTAACTATTGCTGCAAGAAGTGATGTGACAGCCTTAAATAGTATAGTCCAATTTTGAGGTGGTTTTTCTCCGCTCAACAATATATTCGATATTAAATGAAATTCACTTTCAATTTAATAAATCAAATAGATTATCTTTCAGATTAAATTCAAGTAATATTTCTTTTTGTTGTTAGATTTTGATATTAGCTTGAGTAAAAGTGATGTTCATTCTGATATTTATTTTTTTCAATGTTCATTATCGATAAGCTACCGATTATAAATTCAAGTGGAAAGTATTGTATATAAGTATGTCTTATACTAGTGTATTATGAGACATCTACCAAAGAGGAAAATAGCAGCAAAAATAGTACTATTTGACTTTTTTTGTCAATTAATGAACTTTAACTATCTAGGTTGATTGTGAGCCAAGCCACCTTAGTTGCTTCTAAAATCCCTGATCAGAATGAAGAATTCTATAGTTTGACTTGCAATCTCTCAATTCCTTATATTTTTTGATATTTTACTATATACCATCCCCATAAACCCAAATTCTATGTCCGTCCGACTTATTTTTTTGGAAGATTTGATGAGAGGTACACAATTGTGCACTTTTAAGGTAAAAAGATTCACAAAATACGCAATTAATAAAAATATCCTTAATGAAGAAGAATATTTAAAAACTTTTATCATATCCCCCCACCACCCCCACCATCATCGATCGGGAACTAAAGATAGTAAACTCCACAACAGTGAATAAAATATAGTAAATTCCACGACAATGAACTAAAGACAGTTAACTCAATAATAACGAACTACACGACAGTGAATTAAAAAATTCAATGTGTTTTGTTATATATTGTAGATGAAGAAAGAACTAAATTTTTTAGTTCACTATAATTGAGTTCAATGACGTGTAGTTCACTGTCAGTGGTGGTGGGTGGTCGTAGATTTCTACAGAAGAAGAGCATGAGAAAAACAATGGCTTTTGTTCAACTTCAGCTAGACAAAGTGTAAGACACAAAAAGTAATAATCATATAAAAAAAATATTAGTTTGGACTGCATAATAAAAAAGTTCAACTGAGTTAAACCTCACTCCTTAAAAAATACATGCCTAAACTTATTTACAAATCAAATACAGAATTTGTATTGATCAAAACAAAAAGTATAGAATTTGTAATTTTCAACAATTCTCACTTCTATTGCCCTTATATCTGAAGGACTCAAAGTTGCAACCCCAACAAGCATAAGATCTTAAAAGGGGTCAAAGTGTATATTCCACATTCATCAGTTTTAAGAGCTTGTCAACAAAAAATGTGCAGAAGATCCAAAATTGCAGCATTACAACCCATAATCCATATCGAAATAACACCAATTTCTCCGTCACTACATGAAAACAAGTTTGTTTGGACAACACTACTAATGTATAAGATCAATGCAGTCTTAGGAATGCCTTTTTCTGTCCTTATTAAATAATCCCATTATTTTTGAATAGTAATCACCAACAGTTATAACTTCAAAGATTAATTTAACCCACCAAACAAAGCCTATAACAACTGAAATGATTCTATAAGAAATTTAGAAAGTGATGGGATGTAATTTAGGAGCTAATTAAGCAGCTCCTAAAACCAATTCTCGGAGAAAACACCATACCTGATTATTTAAAGAATAAAATATCCTTCAATACATTTTCTCTCCAATTTTATTCTTGACACATCCCTTATCATGTATTCAACTAGTTAATGATCCGTTACGTAGAAAATTAAAAAAAAAAAAAAATTAGAGGGAATCTGAAGATTGGGTGTAGAGCTAATCGTACATGAAATTCCATGATCTTGATCTTTGCTTTGTGTAGCAACCTCATTTCCCTTTGTTAAATTTAAAACGTCAATTGAATTATTCGGCTCGAATAGAATCTTCGATTCTTAACAGGATGGGATATGAATTGTGATCATATAATGAGTCGGATATTAATAATAGAGTCTTTAAAATGGGTTTGAATTAAGATCAATGACAATCCTGGTGGCAATGGCAGTGATGCAGCAGCATCCGATAATTTCCTAGAAGCTGCTGTCATTTTATCTTTCTTTTGACGTTCAAAAAGTCTTGTTAACATGAAAAAATGTTCTACAAACAGCATGTACAAAAGATTGGTCCAAAAAACCAAACCAAGGAAGCAACTACTTCAGGGGTTGTGCACATCGGATATGATGCCTCACGAGAGTGTTGATTGTGAGGGAGGTAGGGGCTTGAAAGCAACAAGCAATTAGCTACGCGAAAACCATTGCTCATTATCACATCCGATTTCCTTGCTTTCTTTGTTGAACAAAAAGTACAATCCTGCTGCTTAGAAGCCAAATAGGAAAGTCAAGTCTTTCTCTGTTAATTTTCCCATAGCATCCGAAGAGCCACCCACGGTCCTGCAATAGTCCGCAAAATAAAATAAAAAAAGATCAGGAAGATTACTCAAGGGTGTGGACTTAACATCTGGAAACAATGTCAAGCTTCTAAACAGCTAGAGAGTTACCCTTCAAACACCAGTAGCTTCTTCTCTTGCAACTTCAGAATTCTTTCCTCAACTGTGTTCTCTATAACAAATCTCACCATCCTACAAATGCACAAGGTAAAGTACTAATCTCCCTAAAAAGAGAGTCACATATCGTAACGTTTGGTTGGAAGTTGGGCCAAGAGAGCATACTTGATTGGTTTATATTGCCCTATTCGATGGATTCTATCTTGGGCTTGTTGCTCCACGGCTGGATTCCACCAAGGATCCATCAAGAAAACCTGGTAGGAATTAACAGAAAAAGGCACCTATATAACAGAGTGGCAAGAGCTCAAAAGAAAACGGAGAGGAAAACATTGGTACTCCTAGAAGCCAAAGGTAAGCGAGGAGAATCATATCCATAACAAACGATGAAAACCAGTGATANAAAAAAAAAAAAAATTAGAGGGAATCTGAAGATTGGGTGTAGAGCTAATCGTACATGAAATTCCATGATCTTGATCTTTGCTTTGTGTAGCAACCTCATTTCCCTTTGTTAAATTTAAAACGTCAATTGAATTATTCGGCTCGAATAGAATCTTCGATTCTTAACAGGATGGGATATGAATTGTGATCATATAATGAGTCGGATATTAATAATAGAGTCTTTAAAATGGGTTTGAATTAAGATCAATGACAATCCTGGTGGCAATGGCAGTGATGCAGCAGCATCCGATAATTTCCTAGAAGCTGCTGTCATTTTATCTTTCTTTTGACGTTCAAAAAGTCTTGTTAACATGAAAAAATGTTCTACAAACAGCATGTACAAAAGATTGGTCCAAAAAACCAAACCAAGGAAGCAACTACTTCAGGGGTTGTGCACATCGGATATGATGCCTCACGAGAGTGTTGATTGTGAGGGAGGTAGGGGCTTGAAAGCAACAAGCAATTAGCTACGCGAAAACCATTGCTCATTATCACATCCGATTTCCTTGCTTTCTTTGTTGAACAAAAAGTACAATCCTGCTGCTTAGAAGCCAAATAGGAAAGTCAAGTCTTTCTCTGTTAATTTTCCCATAGCATCCGAAGAGCCACCCACGGTCCTGCAATAGTCCGCAAAATAAAATAAAAAAAGATCAGGAAGATTACTCAAGGGTGTGGACTTAACATCTGGAAACAATGTCAAGCTTCTAAACAGCTAGAGAGTTACCCTTCAAACACCAGTAGCTTCTTCTCTTGCAACTTCAGAATTCTTTCCTCAACTGTGTTCTCTATAACAAATCTCACCATCCTACAAATGCACAAGGTAAAGTACTAATCTCCCTAAAAAGAGAGTCACATATCGTAACGTTTGGTTGGAAGTTGGGCCAAGAGAGCATACTTGATTGGTTTATATTGCCCTATTCGATGGATTCTATCTTGGGCTTGTTGCTCCACGGCTGGATTCCACCAAGGATCCATCAAGAAAACCTGGTAGGAATTAACAGAAAAAGGCACCTATATAACAGAGTGGCAAGAGCTCAAAAGAAAACGGAGAGGAAAACATTGGTACTCCTAGAAGCCAAAGGTAAGCGAGGAGAATCATATCCATAACAAACGATGAAAACCAGTGATAGTTCAAAACAGAGGCAAATGAGGACTGGTCCAGAGTAGATCTCAATAAAAAGTATATATTAGAATCAGAGATGGCATCGGCCATGCAATGTAAGTAGAGAGGTTTGGAGGCCAGAAAGACCTCTTCTCTCTAAGTTCGCATAGAGAGAGTCCATGAAACTGTGAAATATTTGCAGGAAAAGTACCTAGTTATGTTCTTACTGCTTCAACCGTTATTTTGTCATAAAATTGGGCAGTTCTTAAGGCAACTAAAGGAATGAAAAATCATCCAAAAGAAGGAGAACAAAACAAAAAACCAAGAGAAACAATATATATATATATATATAACAGTTTAGAAACAAATATATTATTTGATCATATTTAATAAGCATACAATTTATTTGCAGGGGTTCCATTATTCCATTTCCATCCTTGCAAGTGATATCAACATACAAGAAGTCAAGAACATAACCAAAAGAAAAAGGGGTCCCTTACATGCGATGCGACAGTGAGATTCAGGGCAACACCTCCAGCTTTCAAGCTCAATAGAAATATTCTGCAATCCGGATCATCAGTGAACTTTGAAATTGCAGCATCTCTTGCACCCAAAGACATGGATCCCACTAACTGAACACAATTAACCCCGGCCTGCAAAAAGTTTGTAATATAATTATGATTCCCGTTTGTGATGAACAGATGAAAAGCTAAAACCAGATTCCATATGAAGGTATATTCTACCTTTTCGAGGGAATAGTGTATCAGATCCAAGAATGTTGTAAACTGGCTAAAAACGATTCCTTTTGCCGAACCGTCCTCTTCGACCATGAATGTAATTTCTTCCCTCTGAAACCAATTAACTTTCAGTAAGCAAAAACATAAATGACTTTGGAATAAAAAATGACAAGAATCAAGTGTGAATCATTTCAGAGACTATAACAAACCAAATTAGTTTCTGAAAAAATTAAAGCCTTTTTTCATGTTCTTATCCCCTGAGAACAGCAAAAAGAATTGGGAGGGGTCCATAAAAGGCATTTCAGTGAAAATAAATGACGCGGGAGACAAGTTTGTCATATGATAACATATTTGGATCACTTGATGAGGTATGGTAACAATACAAATTCCCAAGTTTATTAAAGGAAAATCCTCTACCAAGGAATGTATCATAACTCTTAACAATTTTTTGGCAAAAGAAGAATTGTATTAAGAAAGAGGAGAGAAAAGAGGTACAATATGGACAACATGTCCTCGAGTAGAAAAAGAACAAAATAAACTCCATAGGCAATGCCAACGAAACACCTGTCGAAAATCCAACAATGGCACCCCTTTGAAAGTCCCATGGTACGTTTGGTCCATGAAGAAGCAAAACAATAATTATACAACAGATGAATTTTCGAGTGAGGAAGCAATCATGGAACATTCTTTCATTCCTCTCTAACCAAATACACTAAAGATTCGCAATTGACGCACAATTTAAAATAGACAATGATACAGAACCTAACATGTATTTGATAATTAAAACAGATGAGAAGTATTCGAGTGGGCAACTTGAATCCTAGAGTTCAAAGCGCTGCATATGAAAACTAAGAGCATGACAGACTGATGCATGGTAATACCAGTTGAACATTAAACAGCTTTCATCGCGTTTCTGCTTCAGTTGGAGATGCAATTTCATTTGACTGAAATCAAGATCCATGTACATTCCAGTAATAATTAAACTACTTTTGCACATTTAATTGGGAAATTTGACTTTTGACATAAAGCATAGTCTTCAGCCAAAAGCCAAAAGCCAAAAGCCAAAAGCCAAAAAACAAAAAAAAAAAAAAAAAATTTGAGCATAGACACTACAGTATGCAATCACTAATGCAATGACACATCTTGCTATCTTATCCTACACCCCAAATGCTCCAACCATTATGAAACATGCAATGGATGTTATGGTAAAATGCTGTACTGTAATACACATATTGCTAAAAATGCCAGCATCAGCATCTTCTAAGTTTCTTCGATAAAGTTAATAGTGAAAATAAAAGAAAAAAAGAACAATTTTAGGTATCACATACCAAAGCATCTATTTTTGTACTTGTTTGGAAATCATCAAGCCGGATTCTGTTTAGGATACTCGAGGGCTTAAACCCTTTAAGGGTTGTTCTGGTATTTTGGTCGCCATGATCCTTATCCGTAGTGAAGTCCACAGTAAGTGGTTTTGAGCAAGAAGGGCAAGTGACTTGTCCCACACTAGCAGAGAAATCAATCAAACACAACTTACAGAAGACATGTGAGCATGATGTGACCTGAAACAATTCCAAGAAATCCAAATTATGAGGCAAACAGATCAAGGCTCTAATATGTACCAACTCAAATGATTTTCAAAACGACTCGACCATGCCCAAGGCATATTGGTTATTGTATCTGATGCAAATGTGGCATTGCACAAAGGTTAACAAAAATGGGGAGATGTCATATATTATAATCAAATTGACTGTGTCACTTTGAATATCTAGCTACCATATTTCAATAATCACAAGTTTTATAAGGCAAGAAGGACTGAAACTGGCTCTTTGTTTCCAAGTTGACTTTTTACAAAATCATATTAAAAAAAATTAGCTCCTGGATGCAAAGTCTTAGAGGTTAGAGTGTTTTGAAATTCCGGACATCAACCAAATTCATTATTTTTAGCGTGAATTGAATGGCCGAAGGATAGAGTACAGGTTTAGAGTGGATTAGACATTGACATGATACCGTAAATTCTGGGGCTGAAATAGGACTGTTCTGAGGTTGTGAACAGTAACCCGAGAACAGTAGTAAGCCATATTCCGAATGGTGGTCAGGGTTAAGTCTTTGGTGGTACAAAGGAAGGTCTAAAAATTAGAGTTTGTAGGGTTTACAAGATGGCTTTCAAGGTACTATTTTTTTCGGTAAGTTAAAAAAAAAATAGTTCCTTGAAAACCATCTTTTAAAATATTTTTTTTGGTTTTCATGGTACTATTGCATTAACTGTAGTGCCGAAAAAAGAAAGAGAAAAGATAAAGAATAATCAAGAAATCCAAGAATTGCATAAGAATAAACCTCTAAGGCAAGACCTGTATTGAATCGTAGAAGAAAAACTACAAAAGATTCACAAAATTCTCACTTTCCAATTTCCATTCATCTTCACTGCCTTCAAAGAAATAAATAAAATCTCTAAATACTACTAGAACTTTAAAATCGCAATTAGTCTAGTATTGTATCTAGACACATTTAGGACTCCCAAAGAAATGAATAGCATAATTAGATTCATACTACAGGCCATGAAGCAACATTCCAGCAGTTATAGGACAGTATCAAATTACCCTTTACTTTTGAAACTTAAAATTATATTTTCTCTGGCTTCTTTGCCCTAAACAGACACAAATTGAAAACTAAAATTCAAGGCATGAAGTCCAAAGCATGTCTCATCCAAAGTTCAACGTCGCCCCTCTTCTTATCCTCACTTTCCGCCTGGGACAGACAAATAATTTTCAGGGGGGCCATCCAAATGACACATCTAGCATTAACAACTTTTTCTTTACAAGATCAAACTTCTTGGAATTTCCAATGCAAACTTCCAGTACTACTAGTAAAACAAAGTTACATATATTGATGCTACTGTCTATGAAAAAGATAAAAAATGTGCCAAAACATAGTGTTTACAATAGTACCAATACTGGATGACTTTAATTGGATATGATGAGGAAGAAAAGGAACTAGACAACAAAACCCAAGTCCTAGTACAGCAAATAAATATAATATGAATGAAAAATTATAATTTATTCCATAAAAACTTAACATTTAAGCAATAAAAATCATAAAATTCAAAAACAATTCAATCAGCTACAATTTCAGGTTTCTTTTTCTTTTCCTCTTTATCTTTTTTTATCAGGAAAATAATGGGAAAGACAAAACCAACGAATTCACCCCTTTTTATTGTCAAATGCACTATTTTGATCCCCTATGTTCTCTTTTTCCCCTTCCTTTGTAATTTGGTCCTTTGTAGAAGCAATTTTCTTGTTTTAATATACCTTTGCAAATTCTAAAATCAGATGGTTCCCCAGGTATGTCTCGTGTGTATACAGACATGGAAGGTTGAAGACACTAACCATTATATCGTCAGCTCTTAAAAATACAGAACATAAAGTAATGCTAGTAATTTGCTCATTTATTTCTTCAATCAGCAAATGCAAAAAACGTTTGTGTTTGAAATCCAACATGTTATGTTTGAACACTGACCCCATTCATGTGTGAGAAAAAAAAAACATTAACCCTATTCCCTGATATCTGTGGAGCATTCCAGATGAACAAAATGTAGCTCCACCCACGCCGTACGCATCGGTAATTTACTCATTCTAAACATGTAAAACTTTAACGAATTAAAAATGTGTACCCCTCAGTTACCTGGCACATTTAAAGATACCTAACAATCAATAACACTTGCCGGTCAGACAGTCTCCTATACAGGTATGCAAAATGAAACACAAATGTCCATTCACACTTGAAAATGCCCTTCCTTCAAAAATCCAAAGGGGTTAGAAGACTTTCAATCACCAAAGAAGCAGGTCACCAACAGATGGAAACTCTGTCCGTTGCCTTTGTCACTTATTTATTTCCAAGTTAAAAAAAAATAGCTCAATAGGGAAAAACATAGTTGAATGATAAAATTGATATTAGAGTTTATAAGGGAAAGAAGAAGGGAGGAAGAGAGAGAAAGAGATTGAGAGTAATAATCAGTTGTGTAGGTGATGTTGTACTACACTATTACCCAACACTACTACTAACCTAAAAATAAGAATTCTAACAAACATAATAAGCACTTCTTATATAAACTAATATAAAGTACCAATATCATGAGTTTCGTAATCAAGTAGAATTCAAATTGGGGGCATTCCAGGAAAAGAAGAACAACTAAATGAGACCCTCATCAGTGCAATATTAGTATGAGTTATGAGTGTGTCCCCCCTTCCCCCCCCCCCCAAAAAAAAAAAAAAGAACATAAAAAATGAAAATTTTTTTTTTTTTTTGGGGGAGGGGGGCGATAAAAACAGGACAATAAAAATGTTTAAAACAATAAATAACTTACCACAGGATCTTCTGCTGGGTCATGACATAAGCTACATACTTGTTCACCATCACTAGTATCAACCTCGCCTCCATTTCTTCCCATGGAAGAACTAGAATATACCACAAGGTAAGGATGATCAACTGCCTGTGGTGTCACAAGAGAAAATAATATGAGATTGGCACACTGGACTGGTATATCAACCCAATATCTCATGAAATAGAAGCACGTCAATCTTGTTATTGTGAAGTGGAAAAAAAAAAAGGGATGAGATTATGGAAGTAAATATTCTTGCATTTATTGCTACTGCACTGTTCATTCTAGGTCCTACTGCTTTTCGACTTATCATTCACGTAAAAACAGTTAGTCAAAATGATTTATTAATTTGAGTGAAATTTGATTTCCCTTACAAGTGGGTGGCAAAGATGATTATAGGCTGAATAAGCCGCAAACGAGATAAAAAGGATTGGATTCATTCATTTAATCCCTGTCTATAAGACAAAAAGCTTGACGGCTTGATGCGCTCAACAAGAATCTCCTCAGTTTGTCAGGATATTGACATCAATATGAACTAAACATGTAATTCAAATGACCCCTCACCTGCCGCAAGCGCGTGAGGAGTTGAAATATATGAGCATAGTTATTCGCCAAAGTTCCAGCCTCAAGATATCTGCAAATAAGAAATCATATTGTCTAATGACCAGGCTGAAGTAAAAAAATGCTAGGACACCAAAATTGTGGTTTTAAAAAAACAAAAAATCTAACATAAGTACAAATCAAAATGCAAACTTTAGCAACACAAAATCCGTAGAATCATCTGAAATCATCTCAATTAAAATTCATTCATCGAAGAGAACTATACAAAGACTTGAAAAGAACATACTCAGTAATAAAGGCTGGAGCCAATTTTTCAACTTCTCAATGGCAAACAAGAGAACCAAACAACTCAGAAATGACTTGGGAGAGGCTAAGGCATTAATAGGCCTCTTCAGCCAGACAATATTTGATGTGATCACCAAATAAACCCTGAAAATGACCAAACAGCCTCAAAAGAGGCCATGGAAGTAAATCATACAACAGAAAAAACTCTTCAAAGGGAACCTCTGAGACTTGGTGGTCCACTTCTATGGCCAAAACAGTCAAATGTCCCCCGAAGAGGCCAAGGAAGTTACTCAGTACAGTTAAAATTCCTTAGAAGACAGCCTATTAACCCAATAACCCCTCTCAAGGATTCAGTAAATCTAAACCGATTGCTGTCCATCAAATGGCATAAGTCGGCACCCTAACCCCTATGATTACACACAAAAGGAGTGGTGGCCCAAACCAATCGAGCAATCTCATTAATTAATGGCACTAAAAGGTGCCCCACAACAGAACACAACTAAGGAAGAAACATTACTTTCAAGAGAACACGCACACCAAACACAACACCTCTCCCTGTTTTCCTCTCTGTCAAACAACAACATAGTGACACACACATAAGTACACGGCACAACACCCACACTGCTTCTTTTAGTGTGCAAACAACACAGAAACACAAAAAAAAATAAAGGGACACCACCTTCCTCTGCCAATAACTACAAGACACCACTGGACCGCCATTTTTAGACCAAAAAAATTAGACCAACATGAAGTCCAAATTGAAAATCTATTAAACAAAAGCACAGCGCACGCACACGCACTATCTGTTTTTCTCTGTGCAAAACACAAAGTAATGTACAGGAAACCGAAAACTCCCCACCACCAGCTCCCTATGCCATACAACTCCAAGCCACCACCTGGCCGCCATTGTTTCAAAAAAAAAAAAATTATTGCAATCACATTTGAAAATACAATCAAGCATGCAATCAAAATCAAACTCTAAATCACAAAAAAACAGATAACAAAATAGAACCACGTTGAAATCACAACCCAATCGAGAAATTGAAATTATAATCACAACAAACAGCAAAATCTCAATTCAACTAGAAGCATATCTCAATCCAACCCAATACCAAACAATAATTCGACACAATTAATTACTCCTTATCAAAACCCAAATTAAACCAACAAAAAATCCATCCACCATGAGCTTATCCAAAGTTTAACCAAATTTAAATCACAAGTTGAAATTAAAATTGAAATCAGAAACTAAAATTGAAATTGAAATCAAAACTGACTTAATGATTGTGGAGTAGGCCTAATGATTCTAGACACAAGCGAAACCAGCACAAAACTGACATGAATTTGATGAGTCGAGATTTGGTCTTTAACAGGTATAGATGGTAAATGGGTGGAACACCGTCCCTCGAAAACCGTAGGATATATGAGTCAATTATGTGTTTAACTTGCAAACCCGTTTATATTTGGACTATAAAAACCTAAAAAATTCCATGCCTCTCGCAATTCACGCCTCATACCACACAACTCTCAGCCTTACTGGCTCCCTTAACTCATCTCACAAATACCTAACCCTAAACCCCAAATACCTTATCAGTAATCCTTTCCCTTGTATACATGTCCCCCCTCGTTCTCCCTCTATTAGCTTATCTACCTTTTGCCTCTTACTCTCACTGGTCTCACTCCTTCATCGCCTCTCATCCTTACAATGTGACGACTGAAGTCATGTCTCGTGCTCTAGCCATCTAATCCTATTCAGGCCATCAATGATAATTAACATCTCTCGGTCTCACTTTCTTTTTTCTCTTCTCTAAGAGTTACACTATTTTTGAGGGTAACCACACTCATGTAAACCCTTATCGCTTCTCAATCTATCTCTCATTATGTGGATTGGATGTTGCAAAACCTAGGGCTCTGGGTCAGTAATTTGAATTATTTTTAGTCATTTCTAAATAGGGCTTTCAATTATTTTTGTAATGTAGAAATTAGATAAAATTAGAATGTTGTGGCATCAATTATTGATTTGTATCTATCCAATGAAATATTGTGTTTCATGATACTGAAAAATATTTACTTGGTCTTTGTATACACATATTAATTCTTCATTTTCACCTTTAATTTTTTGTTTCGCCAAGCTTTGTTGCTATAATAAACAAGCTTAACGGGTGGTGTGTTGGAAGTTTTCCATGTGAACCCAAAAAGACCCATAACTGCTTAGTAATTCGGCTGGTGACAGAGATCATGTCCATTTGACATAGTTGGGCCCGTGTAATAAACGAGTTGTGTCTAAGTGGGATAGTTGTACCTAATTAAATAAACGAATTGTGTGTAGATTTAGTGCTTTTTTTAAACGAACCCTCTTTAGACAACACGATTGTAAGGCATATAGAGAGGGGTGAGATGGCGGGTAAAAACAGAGAAATCCGTAGGTTTGAGGCACAAGGGGGGGGCAAATGGAGACATAGAGGAAGAGAATTGGATTGGTGTTTTGGGGATGGAGACAAGTGGAGAGTGGTGTTAGCTTGGTTGTTGTGGATAGTGGAGAGAGCATGGAAGCAACTGATGGTTATGTGTTGGGGGGGAAGAAAGAGAGAGAGTTGTTTAAAAAAAATTAGAAAATGGATACAATTGCATCTATAGAGGCTCAGTGGTGGAGCAGGGGCAAAAAGCATATAAGGGATGGGGTTGGGGTAGTGTTGCAGGGTTATAGGCATTGTGATGGTTAAGGGCCAAGGGATGGCAAAGAGAGAGAAATGGGTGGCCACGATGGTGATCTATGTCCTCCATGAGGCAGAAAGAGGCTCGAAGAGAGAGAGAGAGAGATTGTGTATTTTATTTGAATATATATTTATATAGCCATATGATGTTGCATATATTACATTTAACATATAGGATACAAAATTATCATCCTTTGTTGTGCAAGTACAGAGACATAATACCCCACAATTGCATAATGTGCCATGCACTTTCTATTTTTCCATCAATGATCTAAATGGCAGTTAGGCTAAGGACTACATTGTTTTAATGTGTGAACATTGAGGATGAAATTGAAAAAATTGCAACTTTAAGGACCAAAATGCAACAAATAGCACACCTTAGAGACCGTTAATGCAATTTACCCATCATTCAATTGTTATCTAACTTTCCTCTCGTCATTGCTACTGAGCAAGGATGTTTTAGAAGTTTATTGACATTCCCAGCCCTCTCTTCTTACTCATACCAAAGATTTTCAACGTAACAACAGATATCTAATTAGTTCACACCAAAAACAAAACTTCTCTTTAATGAGTCATAAAGGAATAGATGAGTTATCTAGCATACGTATTGAATTGTGCCCGACTTTCATTGTACAAAGATTTGTAGTAGTCTTCCTCTTCAACATCCAATGAATCCCGTCTCAATTTCACCTGAAGAAAACACATAACAGGTAACAAATTAAAGAAAGATTTTCAAAAATTAAGCAGAGAGATAAATGTCCAGCTACAGTAGTCAAGCCTAACATCTTACATTTTTTGGAGGAAGTGCAAGATCTGCAGCCCTGCCTTTTTTAGTCCGCCTTAACAGAATGCTTCTCAAAATTTTGTTCTTCAGCAAAATCATGGACCTTCTACCGTCGTCATCGTTGCCATGAGCTTTAATTGGTTTAGCAATATACTAGTATAGTTTGCATAAAGGAACACAATAAAGCCTAGATATATCAGTACAAAAGGAGTCTTAAGAAAATAACAATGACAGCAATTACAACAATAAAAATAGAAGTACTGAAAAGCATAACTCACTTTGTTCCACCAGCAAAAGTGCCTCTCACATATGTGAGGACAGTGTGGGCAATCATTTTGCCCCGTGCCATGTTGCCTTGTCGTGTTCCAACCACAAATAGTAAAGACAGAAATGCAAAATTATAAGCAACAGGAGTTTTTTAAAAGAAAAGGAAACAAGGAAGGGATAAGATTAAACAACTAACATGACTACCATACATCAGCCAGCTTAACAGCTACGGATTATTTCTTCTTTTGCATAAAAAAAGTGGAAACAGGAGACAATTAGAAAGGAAAAATCCAAAAGTTGTAAAATTTTCCTCGGAAAAAAATTTGCACAAACATCATCTTACCTCCTTTTGGTTTACGCCTTCCGCATAACCCCCTCTAACATTTGAAAATAACACTTAACCCTCACGTGATCTATGGACTAAATTGCACATATACATTTTCCATCCATTTAAATAGAAAGAGTGAATCATGTGCAACATAGGAGAAGGGAAATGAAATTTGCCATTAAAAAGACAAAAAGACTCTCATATATCTCTGTTAGAGATTTACTTTCCTAATTTAGTTTCATATTATGTTGCTTTCCTATTGTTAAAGATTTACTTTCCTAATTTACCTCCTACACACAATATTGTTCCATAATCTCTCTATTTCTCCTTTCTTCTCCTTTTCTTTCTTTTCTCAAACCCTATTTTTTGTCAAGTTCTAACTATCTCTACTCCACTCCTTCCTCCACTGCCATAACACTTGCCTCTTTTAAGTCCACAATTTCTCTCTCTCTCTCTCTCTCTCATACACACATTCAGACAGCTCCTCATTACAGTCAACTTTCGCAACCACCACAGAAATCGTCTGCCACCCGCCTCCTCCTTCAACCACCCACCACCATTATCAGGCGATCACCCAGTAGACACCATCACCGAAAACTGCTTTGGTCCACACCTCAAACTAGGATCTGCTGACCACATAGCTGCCCTCTAGTTCACTATACAAAACACCCACTAAACCTCCACACCACCATCTCAGCTACCTGCTCTTCTTTTTCCCTTCAAAAATCTTCTTCTGTGTTTTGTGCATTTGATCTCATGACAGATGTTCTCACTTGATAACTTTGTTTTTGGGCAATCAGGTGCTAGGTATAATTGGGGCAAAGGGCATTACACTCGAGGAGCGGCAGAGTTGCAAAAATCAGTAATTGAAGTCAAGAGGCAGAGCAATCACATAAGACTTGGCAAAAAAAATCTGTTGTGAATTTTCTACAGTAAATTGAAATCATTTTTTATTTTTTTTGGCAAGAATTTTACAGAATATTTGAAGATTTCTGTAAAGTTTTACCAAAAATAGAAGTTCGGATGATGAAAATTGGAATGGTAAATAGATTCACCCATGTTTCAGTCACCCACCAAGAGATACTTGTACAATTCTCTGCGAAACAGGAGTTCTCCCAACTTCTGTGTAAAACCCATTGTAAATTATCTTTCCTTTGAATTTCAAAGTACTAGACCAGTGCCTCTTTTGAATTTTAAGCCAATGGCAGTTGTTTAAGGCCGTGGCAAGCAGTTGGAGATGGGGTTATGTCAAAGAAGAAGAAGGGATTGTTCTGTCCAAGAAGAATAATGAGAGAGGTAATATGGTCATCAAGGATCAAAATTTCGTTTCGAAGTACCGTTTCGGTCAACTCAAAAATAGAAACGTTTCGGAAACATTTCGGAAACGCAATGGAAACGCAGAAAAAATATGAAAACGCATAGAAACACAAATACAATCCATTAATTTATAAAGATATGCTAAATAATTGATTAATTCAATATATTTATTAGGTTAACATCAATTTATACAAGAATAAATTTAAATTTGAGGGAAAAAAAGGCTTGACATGAGGCAAAAGTCACTTAAATTAGTTTCAAACACTTAATTTTTATGAAATAAACACATTTTTACATAATATTAAGGTCTTATAATACACATGAAATGCTAATGAGTACATACTTACATGGTTACATCCATTCCCCTGTGGAGTGTCGAGCAGGCTCATACATCGGTGTAGGCTCTGGGTAGCTACTTAGAGAAACTCCATATGTGACATAAATATGATGACAATAGTTACTCCAAATCATATTATTACGGTAATATAATCCAATTAATAATACTATTTTATTATAATACTAATAATGAAGGGTATCAAATTAAATTAATGATACTTATGTATACTTAAAAATTAAATGTAATTGCAGTGGGTATTAAATGTAATTACAGTAGGTATTAAATATAATTACATTAGGGTATTAAATGTAATTGTTAATACTTAAAAAAAAAAAAAAAGCAAAAAACTTGCACAGCAGTGAGGTATTAAATATAATTACAGTATGTATTAAATATAATTATAATGGGTATTAAATATAATTATAGTAGGGTATTAAGTGTAATTATTTATTCTTATAACAAAAAAATTATAAAAGACAGAAGAGCAGTGGGAATTAAATGTAATTATAGTGGGATATTAAATATAATTATAGTGAGTATTAAATGTAATTACAGTGGGTATTAAATGTAATTATAATGGGGTATTAAATGTAATTATTCATAATGAATTATTCATAATGAACTGAATATATCACTGTTTTGTCGAAACGGTACTATTTCGATCGAAACGGCCCGAAACAATGCCGTTTCGACCAAAACGATCCGAAACAGTACCGTTTCGACCGAAACACTGGAATTTTGTGATTCAACTACTGTTTCGTTTCGGAGTGTTGAAATTCCGAAACGTTTCGGATGTGTCGACACGACATTTTGATCCTTGATGGTCATTTTATTCCAGCAGTGCGGTTTACTCAACAAACAACATGAAGGTTATGCGGCTATTTTTATATGTGAAGGAGGTTAGGTGTAGAAGGGGTAACATAAAGTGTGGCCAAAAAACTTTGCATGGGGAAAGACTAAAGACGTAACACATGGAGATTTAGCTTAAAGCATGCATTCAGCACAATGGAGTGATAAAGCCCTAGAGCTGTTCCCATAGCATTGGTTTTGTACTAACAAAAAGTTGGTACCGCTTCTTCGACAATTTATATTAATCTATTCATCTATTGCATAAATGGGCTTCATATATTTTCTGTGGGAAGCAATTACCAAAAAATTACCCCAGATACGCATGCCTCATTAATTCAACAAACCCCAACAAAATCATACCACAATATCCAACAAGTATGGAAGGTTTTAGATACCTCATACGTCCAACTATACAACTATAGATAGGCACAAAGATATAAGCAAGGTTCCACAATACCTATAATCAAGTGTTCTACAATCACAATCCTTGCAGAAGTAAAATGAGTACGGAATTATCTGTAGAAAGCGTACCTGTGTACATAAAACCATACAATATTAGATTGAGAAGTGAAGTAAAGATAATTCACATAATGCAAGAAACACTTACAAGTGAGTAAAATTCTCCAACCCGATTCTGGACGGGAGTGCCACTTAAAGCCCATTTATATGAAGAATCTAAAGCAAGAACAGCTTTTGTTGTGTTACATCGTCTCTCTTTTATATAATGAGCCTATATTAAAAATAATTGTTATTTCCTGACATAGGAGATGAGCTCAGAAAGCAAACAAGGCAAGAAAGGGAAAGTGCAATCATTGCTTGAAGGCAACCGGAAAAAAAATAGCGGAAAGAATAAACTTATTAAAACAAATATCTAACAATGGCAATGGCGTTATACCATTAAAATTAAAACAGTTGTAAACTCCACCTATCAAGGCTATTGCACACAACATTAAACCAGAGAGAGTTTTTATTTCACAATTAAATACAATAATTATCATATGACCAACTTAAAGTTTCAGATAGAAAATATTCATTAACCTTGCTTGCAAAGCCAAGCTGGTTATAGGCTTAAAGTGGATACCTTTATATAAAACTTGAAAGGTTCACGACGTTGAACATGAAGAGATGCCATCTTACAATAAGTTTTAGTTGAAAAACTAACAGAAATCTTTAAGTTGGTTGACAAAATTTTCCAATATAAGGATTAGTTTTCCTGGGTATGTACCATAAATTAATTGTCAAACACTTAGACAATTTAATGGGAAGCCGTTGAACCAAACTACTACATTATATAGCTGATGATTCCATAAGATTTGCAATGACACAAGCATCAAAGGCATTGAACCTTTTGAGTTTTTAGTGGGCTCCCTGCCCACTAAATTGTACCATATTTATTTTTTTCAAAGAAACTATCAAAAATAAACCTTTAACCGTTAAAAACAAGACCTTTTTTATGAGCAGGTTCATTATCATATCGCCGCCACCACGTAGAATGATGCTTCCCATAGTTGTCCCTTACAAAGTTATACCAGATGATGTGTCTAAAAGCTGCCACCTAGACCAAGACAATTATTCATTTTAATTTTGGGTATTTAGGGAAAAAATATGTCCCCGGATTTCGTAATACACGAACTAGCCGATTGATAGCTCTTTGATTGCTATATTCTTACGATATTAGGGAAAGAAGATTGTCTTAATATATAAAAAAGAAAAGGCAAGCATTGCTCCATGCATGATGACCACGCTAGTGATTGTATGCACCTAAATGAAGGGAAGAATGGAGCGTACTTGTTTGTCTATAAGAAACCTGGTTACCTTCTTAAATTCCAACTATTTTCCATGAATTTTTAACCAGGTGAATTGTTAATAGCGCACGACAAAAAAAAAAGAAACAGCATAAGAATAACAATAAAAACCGGCAGAATACCAACAAAGCTTACTTCATCCAAAATGATGCGGTTCCATTTCACATGGTGCAAAATAGATTTACTACCATTGGTTCTCCCAAATTGCTTCAGGGCCTTCTCACCAGCTCCCTTCTTTTTATCACCCACTGATTCACTGGCCTTGCCTTTGGCAGATGTTTTCTGCTTTGCTATTTTAACTCCAAGTTTCTGCCCCTTCCTCTGCTGCTTTGACTGATTATCAGTTCTAAGAGCACCAGGCCCACAATAGTATTTCAGGTGAACAGACATCCTATGCCCATGGTATAACTTTCCACACCATTGGCACTTCTCTTTAGGTGGCATCACATTTCTCCTGTATTCAGCCTCAACTGTCGTGTATGTAGTTATGACAAAATCATATTCTGAGAATTCGCGAAGAGTTTTCCCTCTTTTGGCTCCATGGTAAATCAACACTTTGTTGCTTCCTTTTGACGTGAACCGATCAATCTCAGCAACCCACTGGATCACAGCAACCAATGGACAAATCACAAGGGTGGCCTTAATTTCTGACAACCCTGTAGATGAGCTGGTACTGGGCAATGTTGAAACTCCACTGGGTCCACAAGTTGCTCGGTGTAATTCCCTTTTAGAAAGAACCAGTGCAATGGCTTGGACAGTCTTCCCCATCCCCATCTCATCCGCTAGAATACCCCCTTTAAAAGCAGACTCTTCTTGCTTCAGTGCCCAAGCTAACCATTCCTTCTGGTACCTCAACAATGGCATAATCAAATCCGAAGTTGGCTCAGCAGTTTCAGCCACCAGTTTATCCTGATTATACAATTCAATATCTGTTACCATATTCTCGTTGATCCATCTCTCATTCTCTTCTTCCCAAACTTCCCACATCAATATCGGCTTACTCTTTTTTCTCCTCTTCCTCTTCTTATCATTCTTCTTATCAAACTCCAGATCATGAGCCACTTGCTCTTCCTCATTGATTGCGTTCACAATCTCTTCCTCTTCCTTTCTCTTGCGACTCAGCCGTCCTCTATTCTTCTTTGACCATACTTTTATCCATTTTGCTACCTCCTGCTCAATATCAAAATCACTATCAATCCCTTCGTCATCAATGAATTCAATCTCGGCCTCCCGTTGATGATTTAAATTGAAATTCCCTCCCACTTTGTTCTCTTCCATTGCACTCAAAGAATTTTTGCCTACATTCACATAAGTTTAATACAAGATTCTAAACAGAACCCACCGCTCAAGCCAACAACGCCATTCCTCCCCACATTAACGTTATTCAAGAAACTATCTCCATTCACAAGATTCCAAGATAAGCCTTTTTACCAAATCACGGAAAATATAGTTACACATACACAGATAGAAGGTATACCTTTCTCAAGTAACTCCTGATAATCAGAATCTGAAGATCCCACATTATCTTTGTCTTCATCCGAGATCTTTATACCTCAGTTATTATTGCCTGTTTTGAAATTATACATCGAAATCAATAGAACTTCCACCCACATACAAGAAAGAAAAAAAAAACAAGCCGAATACTCGGAAAAAAAAAGGATCCAATTGACATTGCTCAGTTTTTGAAAAAAAAGAAACCCATAGTTCATCATAAATACTCAAGTGTCTTGCTCGATTACAAAAAACGAAAAAAGAAAGAGCTAAAACATAAATTCAAAGAAATACAAACATGAGACCCGGTTTGGTTTTCAAGATAAACAAGAAGAGAGAATAGAAGTCTAATCGAGTCGAATTGTCAGTTTTCACAAATCTAATTTTTTCCTTTTCCCACATTTTATCAGTACCAAAACACAGACTCGTTACACAAAAAGGAAAAACTGTTCATCGGACCGAAACGATCAAAAGTCAGGAGCAAAAAAGGGAAAAGCAAAGAAAGCAGTGCAAGGTCTGAAACCGTACCTTCAATCGAAGGCCGAGAACTGCGAGGCCGAAGCTTCATTGTTGTCAATCGAAGAGATAAACGGTCCAAAAATTAGGGTTTTTGGAGGTTTCGTTTCAAAGTCCGGAGAGTTTTCAGGTTTCGTTTCAATGTCGAGGTGGTTGAGTGGGGCGGGAAAGTGATTAAATGGAGGGTTAATCTCAAGATCGTTCAAATCTTAATTTTTACCTTCAAAGATCAAAATATTTAATTTATATCCTCAAAGATATAAATTTGTATCAATGTGCACCCTCAAAGATCAAAAATCTCAATTTACACCCTCAAAGATAGAAATTTGTATCAATGTGCACCCCCAAAGATCAAAAATCTCAATTTGCACTCTCAAAGATAGAAATTTATATCAATGTGTACCCCAAAGATAAAAAATCTCAATTTGCACCCTCAAAGATAGAAATTTGTATCAATGTGCACCTAAAATTAAATTGATAAATTATACCTAAATCCCCTCATATTTGTCAATTAATCATTTAAACCTCTTCACATTTAGAATATTACTCATATATCTTATGACATTTGTGCACGTATAACACGTAACCCATTTTCATTGATATCTATTAATATAACCGTTAAAAAATATAATTTTATCCTAATAAAAAATTATAATTTCATATTACCCTTTATTTTATAGGTTCAATATACTATA